TTGGAGCCCTGGGTCTGGGTGTCTCTCTCTCAGTGGGGTTCACAATGGCCGTGTCGGAGACACTGAGACTCTGGGTTGGAGCCCTGGGTCTGGGTGTCTCTCTCTCTCAGGGGGTGCACTAAGCCAGAGACACTGAGACTCTGGGTTGGAGCCCTGGGTCTGGGTGTCTCTCTCTCAGGGGGTTCACTAAGCCAGACACACTGAGACTCTGGGTTGGAGCCCTGGGTCTGGGTGTCTCTCTCTCAGGGGGTTCACTAAGCCAGAGACACTGAGAGTCTGGGCTAGAGCCCTGGGTCTGGGTGTCTCTCTCTCAGTGGGGTTCTCAATGGCCGTGTCAGAGGCATGGGGGTGGGCGGGAGGATGGAGTGGCGGGGGTGCCTCCTTGTGTCCACCTCCCTGGTGGTCAAAGCTGCGAGTTGGGAGCCTCCCTGAATAACAACAGCAGCCATCATGGTGAGATTTCTTTTCCACAGGAGTTGATTCAACAGAACACAGACGTTTCTAATTTAAAAGTTAATGTTCACGTAGTGAGTCCAACCGAGTCGCTGACGTTATCTTGGGAGCAACACTATTTATTTCGCAACACAACATTACAGAATGTACACTTAAATCACAAATGCCCATCTAACCACGCTACGGCAGCACTGCGTGGCTCGAGACTTCTTCTCCCCGACGTGGATCTTCTTCACAGCAGCACACCAAGAACCCCGTCATATCCCCCTGGGCCGGCTCCGCCCTTCGCCCCGCCCACCTTCCAGGTCTCTCGAGCTCCTTCTAGAAGGTTCCCGAGAGCTCCTTCAGACCACGTGACCGCCCAGCAGCCCCCGTCCACCGGTAGCCCCCCTCCAATATCATCCGGTCACGTGTCAGCAGGTCAACCGGCGTATCACGCCCCAACGTAACCCTGGCTGGCTCTCTCTCGCTCCCTCACCGGGAGCCCGCACGGCACACAGCACGTGGTGCTTCCACGTGAACCAGCGCTCACCCAAGCCCCGCTGGGGCTGGTACTACACCCCGTAACCGGGCTGCCCATAGTGACAACACATTACCCGCCGTGGCTCCTTAAGCCCGGCACCACACAGTGACAATTACAGTCACTGCATATATACACGTTAATACTTTAAAAGTTAACAAATATCAATAGCGAATGTTTGTTGAAGCGGGAATGATGCTGTGCCGTTTGCCTCGCACGGAAAGATGATGGGCGACGTCACGGAGCGTAACGATTCGTAATGCAGGGTGCTTCAAAACAATGTGAACACTTCAGAGAATTTGCAACAACACCACGTGGCATGTGCTGCTGCCTCTGGAGACCACCTGGAGGAGATTCCAGAACACGTGTTGACAATGATGGCGAACAAGCGGAGACTCTTTGACTTTTTTAACCTATGAACATACATTTGTTATCACGTTGAAGTGTATTATCCGTTCGTTTTCCATTAAATCGATAGTCCCATGTAAGTGTTAACACATTTTTGAAGCACCCTGCAGTTGCCCTATCCATGGAAGCTGAAGAGGCGATTGATGCGGAGTTGTTCCGGCGTGGCGAGTCCCCGCACTCAGGCGACGCCGCACTCAGGCGACGCCGCTCGCCCAGCTCTTGAAGTGCCCTCTGCGGCGCTTTCGCTTCGAGCCTCCTTCAAGGCTCACGTTTATTGCCGCCACTATTATATTTTTGGTCAGCCGAGTCACGCTCGTGTGTAGTGTGGGTCGAGTCTAACGAGAGAAATGGATATCGAAACTGACGCGATTTCAGATGGTTTGCCTCATTCTAAAATGTTTTAGGCCAGCTCCCGCCGCCTGCTTTCAGACCATAGCGTGTAACTGTACAACACGGTGCGCTTACGCTGTACCCCAGGACCACCCCCCCCCCCCATGTCTCCACACTCACAGCTGTGGCTACGTGTTCCCCAACACATGCCACACCGTTTAAGGCACGTTTAGCCTTGGCTGGCGTTTACCACCCACTTTTGGGCTACATTCTCAAGAAAGGCGACTTCGAGGTGACGCTCGGCGCCTGCTGGCTCTAACTCCACAGCAGTGCAGCGTCAGCCCCCCCCGCGCTCCGCTGCCCGTCCCTGCTCCCCCACCTGGTGTCCAGGCTGGACGCTTGGGAGGTTTTTGGGGGCCGCTCCTGTTCAGCTCGCGAGCAGATATAGCTGGCGTCTTCCCCTACATTAACCCTCTACTGCCCTGGTGGGGGTGGGGTGGTCCCTATTTATAGGAAGCCGGCCGCACTTGTGGCGATTGCCAACTTGTTTGTTGCAGGCGTCTCGAATTTCCGTCAGCCGCTTTCCCGATCACAGGTGGACCCAACCCTCCATCGTGTTCTGCCTTTCCACTTATTCGTGCCATGTGACAGTCTCTCCGCGCTCCAACAGTTGACAGAGCCCTCCTCATGCCTCCAGGTGTGGCGTGTCACGCCCACCCCACTCCAGCAGGAGAGACTGGACCCACACCTCTCAGCACGGCACCCTCAGCCCCAGGTACCAGCACTCAAAGAGCTTCTGGGGCTGCACTGCTTGAGGCTATCGCAGCTCTGGTTGTGGTTCCTCCACACTCCCAACAGTGGACCAGGCCCTCGTGCTGGTTCCTGGTGGCTCCTGCGCTTGCTTCCTCCACCCCCCCCCCCCCTTTTACAGCCGGTAAATGAGCATGAGTGGCCCTTTCCCACACACATTCTACTAAGACCGGTCCCCCCCCAGCTATCATTGACACCAGAGAGAAGCCAGGGGTGTGAGCCTCAACCTTCACGCCTCACACGGACGTTGCCCGTTACTTGCAATCAGCACAGCGGGTTTCTGGGTGACGCAATCCACATCAACGTCAGATTCGCTTAATGAGGTCGTGATGTGATTATTCGATGTGTGCTGGGTTAGGGATGATGACGTCACTGGGAGCATGTGGGTGCCATTTGGGGGGCCCCGGGCCCCCCTATATATGAAATGTCGGCTCGCCGTGTAGCTAAGGCTTTCCGTGTGGTTATAAAAGGTAACCCTTTAACGGTGTGGATTTGTATTCGGAACGGACTTTAATTTTTATAAGATTACTAGCTTTACTGCCCGGCTTCGCCCGGGACTTGGATTCACCACGCCCGGCCGCCTTTGTCTCCCCAGTGGCGATGTTCACACAGCAGAGCAGTGACTCGCTTGAGGCTGAGTCGACCTAGGGGAGGCCCAAGACCGGTAAAAATAATCGTCACCGGTGGTGGCCGTGAGCGGGAATCGAACTCGGGTCACCAGGTTCGTAGCGCAGGGCGCTGACCACTACACTGCAATGCGTTACGCTTCCACATGCGCGGGTCACGTGACAGATTTGACGTCACAGCTCACTTGCCGTGCAAAAAAATATGCATTATTGAGCTCCCCTCCTCCCAAAAAAAACAAAAGTCTATTTTTATAATGTTTGCATGGTGTACAGTCTGGAAAGTACCCATATGGCAAATTTCAGGTTTGTTGCATGTCGGGAAGTACGCTAAACATTTTGAACAGACACATAATCACAACTTGCCTTTAATATATATGGAGATGTACGTAGTTCTAGGCCACCTGGAGGTCAGAGTTATCTACTGCACCCTACACTCAACACGAACTTGGTGCTGAAACTGCCGCAACAAGGTGAGGTGACGTCACCACGGCGCTTGTGCCAGACTAGGTGCACTCCGAGGCCACGTGCAATGTGGAAAGCTCTCTGCTGGCAGGAGGTCACGGGACAGACCCAGGTGGCATGGGTTGACTGCCGTGCTAGGCTAGGTGCAGGATAAGGTCTGGGGACAGACCCAGGTGCCATGGGTTGACTGCCGTGCTAGGCTAGGTGCAGGATAAGGTCTGGGGACAGACCCAGGTGCCATGGGTTGAATGAGATCACTGACGGATGCACACACGCATGCCGAAAGACAGACTGTTCAGACAAGTGCTGGTCGCGAGCACCTATGAAGGCCGGCACGGCACCCGGCCGCCTTTAGTGGCGATGTTTACACACCGCACCAGGTACTCATTTGAGACCGAGTCAGATGATCGTCACTGGTGTTGGCTGCAAGCGGGAACCGAACTCGGGTCATAGCCGGGTTCGTAGTGCAGTAGAGCGCTAACCGCACTACACCACCGCTTGTACACACACACACACACACGGATGTGCACACGCACACATACACATGCATGTGCACACACACACATGCATGTGCACACGCACACACATACACAAGGATGTGCGCACGCACACACACGCGGAGTCGTTGATGCTAAACGATGCTTGAAAAACTCACTCGAGACACGGGGGAGGGTTCTCGCTCACTTGTCAAATTTAGTGGCCGTTCCAGGGTTTAAAAAGTACTGTACTGTACCCGTACATTCCAAACGTCCTCATCGCTACGCTCGGCACGACGCTCGGCACGATCCCTCCCCCCCAAATCCCCCCCCCAAATCACCCCCCCAAAATCACCCCCCCCCCCCGCTAACCCCCCCGCAAGTGCTCACATTTCAACGTCAGTGCAACCCCGTAAAATTTCGCGAGAACTCACCCCGACCCTGAGACCTGGCCTCAACTCGAGACACCGACCCTGAGACTCGTTTCCGCTGCCACATCTGAGCCAAGCCAGCACGGTACAGGTGGTGTTTTTCCACTGCCACGTCCGAGCCAAGCAAGCAACCAACCGAGGCAGATCCCTAACCGCTGCTGCCGGCCACACTCGGAGACGGAGTCTGAAGAATCTGGCTGGGGGCCAAGCAGGGCCAGGGGGGCGGGGCTAACGACGCAATCATTCACCGCACACAATCGGTCGGTACGTGGTGAGGATGCTGCGTCGTCACGCCGTCATCATCGCTACGTCGTCACAGTGCCGTCACCGCTACGTCACCACGTCGTCACCGCTACGTCACCACGTCGTCACCGCTACGTCACCACGACGTCACCGCTACGTCACCGCGTCACCACTACGTCACAGCTACGTCACCGTGTCACCGTTACGTCATCACGTCGTCGTCACCGCTACGTCACCACGTCACCACCACGTCACCACCACGTCACAGCTACGTCACCGTTACGTCATCACGTCGTCGTCACCACGTCGTCACCACTACGTCACAGCTACGTCACCGCGTCACCACTACGTCACAGCTACGTCACCGCGTCACCGTTACGTCATCACGTCATCACCACTACGTCACAGCTACGTCACCACGTCACCGTTACGTCATCACGTCGTCGTCACCGCTACGTCACCACGTCGTCGTCCCCGCTACGTCACCTTCGTCATCGCCACGTGACCGCTACATTGTCACCGCTATGTCACCGCCATATCACCGCACCGTCGTCACGGCGTGGTTGTCGCCGTCACCGCATCGAGGCGAGTCGCTCCGCCTTGAACTTGGAGACGCGTCTGGGTGGAGCAGGAGGCTCGCCGGAGTGCGAGCCGTCACCCACCGCCTCCGCACCTCCTCCCCTTCCGTCGTCGTGGCGTGCCGTGGCTGTCGGCGGCGGCGATGGCGGTGGAGCGCCACGGGACGGTGGCGGTGGAGCGCCAGGGGACGGTGGAGCGCCACGGGACGGCCGTGCCGATCTCTCCGAGACAACTCCAGAAAACGCCTGCGCAGAGGGGGGGGCAGACAGCACGGGGAGACATGGACAGGGAGACAGACAGGGAGACAGATGGAGACGCGTGAGGGATAAGGGGATACTAGGAAGGACGTGGGGACAGGGAGACAACATGGAGACATGGGACATGAAGATAAGAGTTCAAACGGAGATGCTGACGATGTTATTGATCACAATGCTGTTACCAATGCTGATGATGCTATTGATAATGCTGCTACCAATGCTGATGATGCTATTGATAATGCTGCTATCGATGCTGACGATGCTACTGCTATCGATGCTGACGATGCTATTGATAACGCGGCTTCTGCTGATGATGCTATGGATAATGCTTGTGCTGATGCTATTGATAATGCTTCTGCTGCTGCTATTCAGAATGCGTATGCTACTGATGATGCTATTGATAATGCTTCTGCTACTGATGCTACTGATAACGCTTATGTTACTGGTGATGCTATTGGTAACGCTTCTGCTGCTGCTGATACTATTGATAATGCTTATGCTGATGCTATTGATAACGCTTATGCTGCTGCTATTGATAACGCTTATGCTGCTGCTATTGATAACGCGGCTGCTGCTGATACTCATGCTCACATCAGGCAGTTGACATCTTGACATCTCCTCCACCTCCTCGCTGCTGTTGTCAGTGGTGGTGGGCGACCGACTCGTGATGGATGACTCACAGGTGGAGTTGTTGTTGTTGTTGGTGGTGGAGTTGGTGGCAGCTGAGTTGGCAGTGGTGGAGTCGATGTTATTGTTGTTGCTGCTGCTGGTGACGTCGCTGGTGACGTTATTGTTACCGGTGATCATACCGACGATGTTGCCGATGATGTCGCCGGCTGTGTCGCCATCACCCTCCTCTGAAGGATGGAAGACCCCATCTCCGGCACAACCACCACCACCACCACTACCGGCAATGATAGCGCTAATGATGGAGTCGCTGATGCTGCCGTTGCTGCTACCGTTGTAGCTGCTGCTGCCGTTGCTGCTTCCGCTGTAGCTGTTGCTGCTGCTCCCACCGTGGCTGCCGTAGCTGAACTCGTCACTACCCAGACCGTCTTCGTGGCTGCGCGACTTCAGGATGGACTTACGTGGGCGGCGGTGACCGCTCGCCACGTCCACGAACCACCTGCTCCAGCCGGGGCACGCACACATGCACACACACATGCACACACGCACACACGCACATGCACACACATGCACACACGCACACGCACGCACACACACACGGGTAACTCGTTTAAGGCCGAATCGACCTAGGGGAGGCCCAGGACCAGTTCAGATAATCGTCACTGGGTGTTGGTAGCCGTGAGCGGGAATCAAACTCGGGTCACTGGGTTCATAGCGGAGCGTAGCGCTAACCGCTACACTACCGCTCCCCCTCGCATACACGGGCACAAATTGATGGACACATGCACAGATTTACACACACACAAACACGGACACACAACAACAACACGGCGTCTGTGCCAGGCCAGGAGCACTCCGAGGCCACATGAAGTGTCGAAGGCTCGCTGACTCGAAGTCACGGGACACACCCAGGTGCCATGGGTTGATTGCTGTGCCAGGCTAGGTGCAGGAGGAGGTGGTCACAAGACAGACCCAGGTGCCATGGATTGACTGAGATGGCTGGCAGATGCACCACCTGTGCCCCCAACTCACTGCCTTTAATCCGCCCGGCGCTCCGCTCGTTGTTGAGCGTCGCTCCTCTGCCCTTAGTTGTTGCTGGAGGGCGACTGCCTCCAACTCCCCAGTAGCAGCGTCCTTCACGAGCCTCCCCCATAGAGACCGATCTTGAGACTGCTGGTACCAGTCTTTGGCAAGTCGACTCAGCTCCACATCCTCCCATGCCACATCAGGCCATGTCGCACCCGTTTAGCTCCCTCTATCCGGCCAAACAGAAGCTGCTTGGGCAAGCGGTGACTGGGCATGCGGGCGACGTGATCCAGCCAACGCAGCCTTGCCTGCCAGAGGAGCTCCTCACACAATTCAGCCTGGTTAAACTCAGGATGGATCACTGGCAGGCCAACCTGAATGTTTTTAACCGGCAAAGATATTCCATTAGGGGGGTCTACGTTTTGCAAGCATAGAGAAGGGAGGGCATGATTATGGCCGAGAAGACCCGAAGCTTCGTGTGGAGCGACAGACCAGGTAGCTTCCACACAGAAGCATTACACAGCTGATGAAAATATAATGCCGCTCGGCTGATTCGGAGGGAGACCTCTGCTGGCAAACTGGAGCCGGTCAAGAGCTCACTTCCCAGGTATGGAAAGCTTTACACTCCCTCCACAGCTGCTCTATCACGCAGACACACGGACACACACAGACACACTGAGACACACTGAGACACACTGAGACACAGACATACACTCACACACGGACAGGACCTGTAGATGTCGGCCGGGGAGCGGAGAGTGGTGGTGCCGCCATTGCTACCACCGCTGTGCCTGCGCCGACGATGCTGCTGCTGCTGCTGCTCCCTCCGCTCGCTGAACTTGAGCGTCGTGTTCCTGCCGGTGTCGATACGCACCTGGGGGGAACGCGTGGCGGGTCGCTCGCCCACTCGCTCACCCGCCGGCTCACCAGCTCGCTCGCCAACCCACCTACCCAATCGCTCACCCACCCACCCACCCGCATACCCGTCCGCTCACCCACCCACCAGCACGCAAAACTCGTTCACTAACCCGCCCACTCGCCCACTCATCCGCTCGCTCACCAACCCACCCACCCACCCGCTCGCTGACCTACCCGCTCGCTCACCTGCTGAATGAGTGCACTAATGAGTCACCGAATGAGAGCGAATGGGAGTACGAGTGAGCGTGGCCACCTTCTTGGGTTCCGTAGTGTGAGAGAAGCGAATGGTGGGCGTGCCCTCCCACTCCGTGACGTCTTCGCCAAGCCCCTCCCCATCCAACGCAGCCTCCTCCCACTCCTCTCTGGGTAGACAAAGACAAATATCCCCTGTGTAGCCTCTAACAGACTGCAGGGGCAAGTGTTCTGAGCGAGTAGCAGCGCCTATGAAGGTTGACACGGCACACGAGGGGGTTTGGTGGCCAGCACCACGCCCGGCCGCCTTTGTATCCCCAGTGACGATGTTTACTACGACACACCGCACCAGGTACTCATTTGAGGCCAAGTCGACCTAGGGGAGGCTCAGGATCGGATAAAATAATCGCCGTGAGTGGGAATCTAACTCGGGCGGCCGGGTTCTTAGCGTAGCGTGCTAACTGCTGCGCCATCTCTTTCTGGGTTTAAAGAGAAACATCCCCACCCTGAAAATGAGTGCATGAGTGAGTGACCGAATATGTAAACGAGTGAATTAAATGCTGAGTTAACAAATCTTTGAATGCGTCACTGAATGAGTCTATGGGTCTCTGTTTGTTGAGTTAATAGGACTCTACTGTGTGATGAGTCTATGGGTCTACTGTGTGCTTATTCTATGGGTCTCTACTGTGTGATGAGTCTATGGGTCTCTATCTGGTGAGTCTATGGGTCTCTATCTGGTGAGTCTATGGGTCTCTACTGTGTGGTGAGTCTATGGGTCAGTGTGACAATTCTATGGATGTTACTCACTTAGAACTTTTGGTGGTTACCGATAGGTGAGGGTGTATTTGATTGGACTCTGAATCTTCCAAAATATCTCCACCACCACCAGCATTGTCATCAGCAATATCACCATCAACAACATCATCATCAGCAGGGTTGCTATCTTCTGCCCTGTTGGTAAAGATAAGGGTTTGGCATGATCATCATCAGCAACAACTACTGATATCACAACACTGCTATCATCATCAGCAGCGGTAATGAAAATCACCACCACTGCTTTCATGACTACTAACATTAAATACAAAGACGCCCCGTGGAGCCTTAACAGATTGTTGGGGCAAGTGCTGTTAGCGAGTAGCAGCAGCGCCTATGAAGGCTGGCACTGTGGCACACGAGGGGGTGGGTGGCCAGCACTACGCCCTACCAACTTTGTCTCCCTGGTGGTAATATTTACTACACACAGCACACCAAGAATGCATTTGAGGCCGAGTAAACCTAGGGGAAGCCCAGGACGGGTTCAGATAATCGTTGTCACTGTTATTGGTCATGAGCGGGAATTGAACTCGTGTCACAGGGTTCGTAGTGCAGTGCGCTAACCGTAGCGCCGCCGCTCCCTACCACCACCATCACCACCACCATCATCATCACCATCGCCACCATAACCACCACAATCACCATCATCACTGTTATCAAAGACAAAGGTCCCCCGTATAGCCGGAGCGAGTGGCACCGATGAAGGCCGGACAGAACGGCACACGAGGAGCTGGCGATGTTTACGAAACACTACCACACAAGGTACTCAATTTACGGCTCAGTCGATCTAGGGGAGGACCCGCGACCGGTTCAGATGATCGTTACCGGTGTTGGTGGCCTTGAGTGGGAATCGACCTCAGGTAGCTGGATTCGTAGCACAGTGTAGTGCTAACCGCTGCACTACCGCTCCCCACTGTCATCACCACCACCTTCACCACCACCATCATCAGCACCATCACCGCTACCACCAAAGAAAAAGATCCCCAGACTGTTGGGGCAAGTGCTGTTAGCAATCACCTATGCAGGCCAGAACAGCACACGAAGAGGTGGGTGGCTAGCAACCACGCCCGGCCGCCTTTGTCTCCCCAGTGATGATGTTTACGCACCTCACCAGGTACTCATTTGAGGCTGAGTCGACCTAGGGGAGGCTCAAGACCAGTTCAGATAATCGTCACCGGTGTTGGCCATGAGCGGGAATCGAACCCCGGTCGCCGAGTTCGTAGAGCAAACCACTACACCACCGCTCCCCACGACCACCGCCATTACCACACCCACCATCACCTGTATACTTCATCCATCGCCTCCTCCTCCCTCTCCAGCTCATCCAGCCTCGCCCAGATACGATTCAACTCCTCCGCGTCCTCTTGCTGGTGACGGGGGCCGGGAGGTGCGGCCGGGGTCTCGCGGGGAGGGGCGGGGGACCCCGAGTGGGGGCTGTGGGCCACCCGCGGCTTTCCTGCACAGACAACGCTCCCAAGATGAGACTCCGGGTCCCAGGGTCAGAGGACCAGGTACCAGGGTCAGTGCCTCGCGTTGAACTCAGATCTCAGGGTCACGACCTCACCTTTCTTCCTCTGTTCATCTTTCTCCGTCAACTCCTCCCGTATTTCCATATTTCCCCTTTCCTGTTGACGGGCAAAAAAAATAAAGTCAACTCTTATTTGACGACGACGACAAGGATGATGCTGACGAAGACAACGATGTGAAGGCTCCCCCATCTCTAACCTTGTCCAGCCTTGGAAGTTAATGACGATGATCACCATGACAACGACGATGACGTGAAGGCCACCCTTATCCCTCACCTTGTCGAGCCCTGCGAGCTCGCTGGTGAACCTCTGACGGGACTCAATGCTGCCCTGCGCTCTGCCCAGGTCGTCTATCGTCTTCTGGACGTCTGGGGAGACACGTGGGGGGGTGGGTGGGTGGGGGGAGCAAGACAGACTCAGAAGATTTATACTGAAGGAATTCAAGAAGCTCTGAAGCTCTTTGGAACAGATGTTTCAGTAGGTTGCACAGGGGCAGAACATTACAACAAACACAATACACAAACACGACAGCGGTCAAAGTATAGGAAAAGCAAAAAAATTACTTAAAATATATATGTACAAACACAACAAAACTAGTTTTTATCTTACCAGGTAAGACACATAGAAGTACAGTACAACGGTGACCCAGTACCACAGCCCGTCCGTCGCCCGTTCTTGCCGGAGGTTCAAGCCCGGCCAGCAGCCCCGGTGAATACTGCGGTGGTGCGTGTGTTTAGGTCGACTCAGCCTCAAATTAGTACACATCTGTGAAAAAGAGCTTTGTAGCTCAACAGATTCCTCCAGTGTCAATAAATATTCTGATTCTGAGTAGCTGGTGCAGTGTGTAGTAAACACCCACCACTGGGGAGACAAAGGCGGCCAGGCGTGGTGCTGGCCACCCACCCCCTCGTGTGCCGGTGGCGGCCTTCATAGGCTGCTACTGTTATTCTAGAACAGTACTTGCCCCCAACAGTCTGCCAAGGCTACACGGGGGATCTTTGTGTTTGTGTGTGCACGTGTGTCCGTGTGTGCGTCTGTCTGTCTGTGTGCATGTCTGTCTGTGTGTGCGCGTCTGCCTGTGTGCGTCTGTCTGTGTGTGTGCGTCTGCCTGTGTGTGTGCGTCTGCCTGTGTGTGTGCGTCTGCCTGTGTGTGTGCGTCTGTCTGTGTGTGTGCGTCTGTCTGTGTGTGTGCGTCTGCCTGTGTGTGTGCATGTCTGTGTGTCTATGTGCGTGTGTCTGTGTCTGTGCATGCGTACGTTGCATGCGGTGCTCTGCGATGCCCTCAGCTTGCTTGGCCGATAACGAGGCGAACCAATTGTCTCCCAGCAGCACCGTCACCTCATTAGTCTTAATGAGGTGGCCAGGCATGAAGGCGAGGGGCCCCATGGGTACCTGTGAAGACAAAGATACCAACCCCAACGTGAATCGCCTTCAACAGACCGTTGGGGCGAGTGCTCTTAGTAGCGAGAAGCCGCACCTAGGAAGGCCGGCACAGTGGCACACGAGGAGGTGGGTGGCCAGTACCACGCCCGGTATGCGTCTGTGTGCATGCGTGGACACGCACCATGATGCTGTAGTGCAGGCGATCGGGAAGGGTGCTCAGACGGTCTCGCAAGACACTGTAATCCATCCGAACCTTCTCCCTAAACGACACGCACAACACACAGACCGGGTTTCAGGGTAAGTGTATAGAGTTGAGACCGGGTCTCAGGGTCAGTGTCTCGGGTTGAGACCGGGTCTCAAGGTCAGTGTCTAGGGTTGAGACCGGGCGTCAGGGTTAGTGTCTAGGATTTAAACCGGGTCTCAGGGTCAGTGTCTAGAGTTGAGACCGGGTCTCAAGGTCAGGGTCTCGGATTGAGACCGGGTCTTAGGGTCAGTGTCTAGGTTTGAGACCGAGTCTCATGGTCAGTGTATAGGGTTGAGACCGGGTCTCAGGGTCAGTGTCTAGGGCTGAGACAGAGTCTCAGGATCAGTGTATAGAGTTGAGACCGGGTCTCAAGGTCAGGGTCTCGGATTGAGACCGGGTCTTAGGGTCAGTGTCTAGGTTTGAGACCGGGTCTCATGGTCAGTGTATAGGGTTGAGACCGGGTCTCAGGGTCAGTGTCTAGGGTTGAGACAGAGTCTCAGGGTCAGTGTCTAGAGTTGAGACCAGGTCTCAGGGTCAGTGTCTAGAGTTGAGACCGGGTCTCATGGTCAGTGTATAGGGTTGAGACTGGGTCTCAGGGTCAGTGTCTAGGGTTGAGACAGAGTCTCAGGGTCAGTGTCTAGAGTTGAGACCAGGTCTCAGGGTCAGTGTCTAGGGTTGAGACCGGGTCTCATGGTCAGTGTCTAGGGTTGAGACTGGGTCTCAGGGTCAGTGTCTAGGGTTGAGACCGGGTCTCAGGGTCAGTGTCTAGGGTTGAGACCGGGTCTCAGGGTCAGTAGAGTTGAGACCGGGTCTCAGGGTCAGTGTCTAGGATTGAGACCGGGTTTCAGGGTCAGTGTCCAGGGTTGAGACCGGGTCTCAGGGTCGTGTATAGAGTTGAGACTGGGTCTCAGGGTCAGTGTCTAGGGTTGAGACCGGGTCTCAGGGTCAGTGTCTAGGGTTGAGACCGGGTCTCAGGGTCAGTGTCTGGAGTTGAGACCGGGTCTCAAGGTCAGGGTCTAGGGTTGAGACCGGGTCTCAGGGTCAGTGTCTGGAGTTGAGACCGGGTCTCGGGGTCAGTGTCTAGGATTAAGACCGGGTTTCAGGGTCAGTGTCCAGGGTTGAGACCGCGTCTCAGGGTCAGTGTATAGAGTTGAGACCGGGTCTCAGGGGTCAGTGTCTAGGCTTGAGACTGGGTCTCAGGGTCAGTGTCTAGGGTTGAGACCGGGTCTCAGGGTCAGTGTCTGGAGTTGAGACCGGGTCTCAAGGTCAGGGTCTAGGGTTGAGACCGGGTCTCAGGGTCAGTGTCTGGAGTTGAGACCGGGTCTCAGGGTCAGTGTCTAGGGATGAAACCAGGTTTCAGGGTCAGTGTCTAGGGTTGAGACCGCGTCTCAGGGTCAGTGTCTAGAGTTGAGACTGGGTCTCAGGGTCAGTGTCTAGAGTTGAGACCGGGTCTCAGGGTCAGTGTCTAGGGTTGAGACCGGGTCTCAGGGTCAGTGTCTAGGGTTGAGACCGGGTCTCAGGGTCAGTGTCTAGGGTTGAGACCGGGTCTCAGGGTCAGTGTCTAGGGTTGAGATCGGGTCTCAGGGTCAATATCTAGGGTTGAGACTGGGTCTCAGGGTCAGTGTCTAGGGTTGAGACCGGGTCTCAGGGTCAGTGTCTAAGGTTGAGACCGAGTCTCAGGGTCAGTGTCTAGGGTTGAGACCGAGTCTCAGGGTCGTGTATAGAGTTGAGACCGGGTCTCAGGGTCAGTGTCTGGAGTTGAGACCGGGTCTCAGGGTCAGTGTCTAGAGTTGAGACCGGGTCTCAGGGTCAGTGTCTAGAGTTGAGACCGGGTCTCAGGGTTAGTGTCTAGGGTTGAGACCGGGTCTCAGGGTCAGTGTCTAGGGTTGAGACCGGGTCTCAGGGTCAGTGTCTAGGGTTGAGACCGGGTCTCAGGGTCAGTGTCTAGGGTTGAGACCGGGTCTCAGGGTCAGTGTCTAGGGTTGAGACCGGGTCTCAGGGTCAGTGTCTGGAGTTGAGACCGGGTCTCAGGGTCGTGTATAGAGTTGAGACCGGGTCTCAGGGTCAGTGTCTAGGGTTGAGACCGGGTCTCAGGGTCAGTGTCTAGATTTTAGACAGGGTCTCAGGGTCAATGTCTGGAGTTGACATCGGGCGTGTGCAATGAAACGTCATCTCACCAGTGCTGTATCTTGGCCCTGCAATCCGAGACCACCTGTGTTGTGCACAAGACAAATTATTATTTGTTTATTGCTGTGGTTGTTCCCACCCGATGACGGGCACTTGTGTTGCGTCCGAAACGTCGTGATTTAAGTTATTTCATACCTACGTGACTTTACCGAAAGAACCAAAGAGTATAGATTCCTGCAGTCACGAAAACTTCAAATCTATTATTTTGATGACCACCACCGCCAACGCTGCTTCCGCAGCGTTGGCCAACGCTGCTTCCGCAGCGTTGGCGGTGGAGCACGAACAACAACAAAGTCCAACTCGCAATGCCTTGACGAACGCGTTTTCGTTTTTCGGCTCGCATTAACAACAATCACCATTCAGTCCATTCACACCACCCCTAGTTGCCACTGCTATTCAGAATGGCCTGAAATCAAATGCATCGTTCCGGATGACCGCTGCAAAGTATTATCTTGAGTTTTAATTATAGTGTGCTGACCTTTAAAGTTGTATTGAAAATGTTTGAATCTGCTACTGATACTCCTGCTGTTATGGACCGCCTCATGCAGCCAATCATGACTGCAAAGCTTGATAGTACATGTTATGTAGATATCGCTTGTTAAATTTGAATCACAGTTCCTATGATCACTGTTACATTGTTTTTTTATAGTTTTATTTTGGTGATTTTGCAAACGTTTTGGTTGAGCCATGTTTGTTTGTTGTAGTACAGAGTTAGCCTGATAACTTGAATCTACATCGTCTTATGGTTGTTATTGTTTGACTTGCATCCCACTGGGGTTTTTGCACACAGCGTTAATATACGGTGTTTTTTCTCGAAGACTTTGCTGTTTTTTCCTGGATCTTTCTGTTGCGGGTAGTCGCTTTAAGATGCTTCTTGTTCATGTTTTTGTTTGTTTCGGTTGCACCCGAGCCAAGAGCCGCATGGCTCACAGGGTTATACCTAATAAATTAAACTGAAACCACCTACACATTCAAGAGTTCAACTCTCAAACATCTATCCCGAGGGCGGATTCACCGGGTTGCCCATCAACACCACCACAGCAAACACTGGGTTAAACCACCACCACTACCACCACCACGACAATTACTGGGTTAAACCACCACCACCACCACGACAATCACTGGGTTAAACCACCACCACCACGACAATTACTGGGTTAAACCACCACCACCACGACAATCACTGGGTTAAACCACCACCACAATCACTGGGCTAAACCACCACCACCACCACAATCACTGGGATAAACCAGCACAGCACCGGGTTAGGGCGCCACCACCTTCGTGTGCTCGTCTTGCAATCGCTGCACGCTGCCAGGGTCGCCCATTATGAGCCGGCAGGACGTGTTGTTGTTGACGCTGCTGTTGTTGTCGTTGTTGACGCTGCTGTTGTTGTTGTTGCTGTAGTTGACGCTGCTGTGAAGATCAGGACGAGGTGGAGCACCATTCACGATCCTCCTCCTCCTGCTCTATCCCCCCCACAACGTGTCAACACCACCACCAACAACACCACCACCACCACGCCAAATAAACTCTCCAAGATCCGCGACTCTTCCTGCAGTCCGCGAGGCGAGCGAGCGAGCAGCAACCGAGTTGGGCGTCTACAGCCAAGTCCTGTACGGGTGCTTTCGCGTCGCCGGCGACGAGGGAGCGCGCATTTCAAACGCAGGCCGCTCGCCTTCTTCCTCTGTGGCGACGACGGTGACTTGGTGAATCGCTCCGGGCCTCGATGATTTTGTTAGTTTGTCTCGCCAGAGGTTGGGGGAGTGAACAAACCTCGCCCCTGCCGCCTCCTGGCTGCTGCCTGCTGCTGCCTCGCCGTGTGTCAACAACAAGAGCCACTCGAGGACGCCATGTCACCTCCAGCGCGCGATGCACCACGGGAGAATAAACAGGGCGGAAGCGTGGTGACGTCACCCCACCCCCCACACTGCCTCGTTAATATTCATGAGTCACTGCCTCGTTAATATTCATGAGCCACTGCCTCGTTAATATTCATGAGCCACTGCCTCGTTAATATTCACGAGTCACTGCCTCGTTAATATTCACGAGCCACTGCCTCGTTAATATTCATGAGCCACTGCCTCGTTAATATTCATGAGCCACTGCCTCGTTAATGTTCATGAGTCACTGCCTCGTTAATATTCATGAGCCACTGCCTCGTTAATATTCATGAGTCACTGCCTCGTTAATATTCATGAGCCACTGCCTCGTTAATATTCATGAGCCACTGCCTCGTTAATATTCATGAGTCACTGCCTCGTTAATATTCATGAGCCACTGCCTCGTTAATATTCATGAGCCACTGCCTCGTTAATATTCATGAGTCACTGCCTCGTTAACATTCATGAGCCACTGCCTCGTTAATATTCATGAGCCACTGCCTCGTTAATATTCATGAGCCACTGCCTCGTTAATATTCATGAGTCACTGCCTCGTTAATATTCATGAGCCACTGCCTCGTTAATATTCATGAGCCACTGTCTCGTTAATATTCATGAGCCACTGCCTCGTTAATATTCATGAGTCACTGTCTCGTTAATATTCATGAGCCACTGCCTCGTTAATATTCATGAGTCACTGCCTCGTTAATATTCATGAGCCACTGCCTCGTTAATATTCATGAGCCACTGCCTCGTTAATATTCATGAGTCACTGCCTCGTTAACATTCATGAGGCACTGCCTCGTTAATATTCATGAGCCACTGCCTCGTTAATATTCATGAGCCACTGCCTCGTTAATATTCATGAGCCACTGCCTCGTTAATATTCATGAGCCACTGCCTCGTTAATATTCACGAGTCACTGCCTCGTTAATATTCACGAGCCACTGCCTCGTTAATATTCATGAGCCACTGCCTCGTTAATATTCATGAGCCACTGCCTCGTTAATGTTCATGAGTCACTGCCTCGTTAATATTCATGAGCCACTGCCTCGTTAATATTCATGAGTCACTGCCTCGTTAATATTCATGAGCCACTGCCTCGTTAATATTCATGAGCCACTGCCTCGTTAATATTCATGAGTCACTGCCTCGTTAATATTCATGAGCCACTGCCTCGTTAATATTCATGAGCCACTGCCTCGTTAATATTCATGAGTCACTGCCTCGTTAACATTCATGAGCCACTGCCTCGTTAATGTTCATGAGCCACTGCCTCGTTAATATTCATGAGCCACTGCCTCGTTAATATTCATGAGTCACTGCCTCGTTAATATTCATGAGCCACTGCCTCGTTAATATTCATGAGCCACTGTCTCGTTAATATTCATGAGCCACTGCCTCGTTAATATTCATGAGTCACTGTCTCGTTAATATTCATGAGCCACTGCCTCGTTAATATTCATGAGTCACTGCCTCGTTAATATTCATGAGCCACTGCCTCGTTAATATTCATGAGCCACTGCCTCGTTAATATTCATGAGTCACTGCCTCGTTAACATTCATGAGGCACTGCCTCGTTAATATTCATGAGCCACTGCCTCGTTAATATTCATGAGCCACTGCCTCGTTAATATTCATGAGCCACAGTTTTTTCCCCCCCCCCTCCTCCCTCACCCCTCGGCTCCTCCTCCAATCCCCACCCCCCCGCTCCCCCCGCCCCTCATCGCGCCTCATCGACAGCAATGGCGGACTGCTGCTCAGGCGCTGCTGCTGTGTCCAGCACCAGCACCAGCAGCACCACCACCAGCACCACCTCCACCTCTACTAGAGGTGGAAGTGGTGCTGGTGGTGGTGCTGGTGTGGTGGTGGTGGTGCGCGTCAAGAGGAAGCTGACGGCGGCTCCAGAGCCGCCGGAGGCGCTGCTGCTGCTCGCCTCCAAGCGGGCCCGGGACGACCGGCGCGGAGACGCCGGAGCCGTGGAGAGCAGAGTGTGCACCTTGGCTGGCACGGTTCGCTCGCGGGTAAAGACGGCGGTGTGTGTGTGGGTGAGGGTGACTGTGTGAGTGGTGTGAGGGTGACTGTGTGTGGGTGGAGAGCAGAGTGTGCACCTTGGCTGGCACGGTTCGCTCGCGGGTAAAGACGGCTGTGACTGTGTGGGTGAGGGTGACTGTGTGAGTGGTGTGAGGGTGACTGTGTGTGGGTGGAGAGCAGAGTGTGCACCTTGGCTGGCACGGTTCGCTCGCGGGTAAAGACGGCTGTGTGTGGGGGTGACTGTGAGGGTGACTGTGTGTGTGGTGTGAGGGTGACTGTGTGTGAGGGTGACTGTGTGTGTGGTGTGAGGGTGACTGTGTGAGTGGTGTGAGGGTGGAGAGCAGAGTGTGCACCTTGGCTGGCACGGTTCGCTCGCGGGTAAAGACGGCTGTGACTGTGTGTGGTGTGAGGGTGACTGTGTGTGAGGGTGACTGTGTGTGGGGGTGACTGTATGTGGGTGACTGTGTGAGGGTGACTGTGTGAGGGTGACTGTGTGTGAGGGTGACTGTGTGTGAGGGTGACTGTGTGAGGGTGACTGTGTGTGTGGTGTGAGGGTGGAGAGCAGAGTGTGCACCTTGGCTGGCACGGTTCGCTCGCGGGTAAAGACGGCTGTGACTGTGTGTGGTGTGAGGGTGACTGTGTGTGTGGTGTGAGGGTGACTGTGTGAGTGGTGTGAGGGTGACTGTGTGAGGGTGACTGTGAGGGTGGAGAGCAGAGTGTGCACCTTGGCTGGCACGGTTCGCTCGCGGGTAAAGACGGCTGTGTGTGTGGGTGACTGTGTGTGAGGGTGACTGTGTGTGAGGGTGACTGTGTGAGGGTGACTGTGTGTGAGGGTGACTGTGTGTGAGGGTGACTGTGAGGGTGGAGAGCAGAGTGTGCACCTTGGCTGGCACGGTTCGCTCGCGGGTAAAGACGGCTGTGTGTGTGTGGGTGAGGGTGACTGTGTGAGGGTGACTGTGTGTGAGGGTGACTGTGTGTGTGGTGTGAGGGTGACTGTGTGTGAGGGTGACTGTGTGAGTGGTGTGAGGGTGACTGTGTGAGTGGTGTGAGGGTGACTGTGTGAGTGGTGTGAGGGTGGAGAGCAGAGTGTGCACCTTGGCTGGCACGGTTCGCTCGCGGGTAAAGACGGCTGTGTGTGGGGGTGACTGTGTGTGAGGGTGACTGTGTGAGTGGTGTGAGGGTGACTGTGTGTGAGGGTGACTGTGTGAGGGTGGAGAGCAGAGTGTGCACCTTGGCTGGCACGGTTCGCTCGCGGGTAAAGACGGCTGTGTGTGAGGGTGACTGTGTGTGTGGTGTGAGGGTGACTGTGTGTGAGGGTGACTGTGTGTGTGGTGTGAGGGTGACTGTGTGTGAGGGTGACTGTGTGAGTGGTGTGAGGGTGACTGTGTGAGTGGTGTGAGGGTGACTGTGTGAGTGGTGTGAGGGTGGAGAGCAGAGTGTGCACCTTGGCTGGCACGGTTCGCTCGCGGGTAAAGACGGCTGTGTGTGAGGGTGACTGTGTGTGTGGTGTGAGGGTGACTGTGTGTGAGGGTGACTGTGTGTGTGGTGTGAGGGTGACTGTGTGAGTGGTGTGAGGGTGGAGAGCAGAGTGTGCACCTTGGCTGGCACGGTTCGCTCGCGGGTAAAGACGGCTGTGACTGTGTGTGGGTGAGGGTGACTGTGTGAGGGTGACTGTGTGAGGGTGACTGTGTGTGGGGGTGACTGTATGTGTGGTGTGGGGGTGACTGTGTGAGGGTGACTGTGTGAGGGTGACTGTGTGAGGGTGACTGTGTGTGTGGTGTGGGGGTGACTGTGTGAGGGTGGAGAGCAGAGTGTGCACCTTGGCTGGCACGGTTCGCTCGCGGGTAAAGACGGCTGTGTGTGGGGGTGACTGTGTGTGTGGTGTGAGGGTGACTGTGTGAGGGTGACTGTGTGAGGGTGGAGAGCAGAGTGTGCACCTTGGCTGGCACGGTTCGCTCGCGGGTAAAGACGGCTGTGTGTGGGGGTGACTGTGAGGGTGACTGTGTGTGAGGGTGACTGTGTGAGGGTGACTGTGTGAGGGTGACTGTGTGTGAGGGTGACTGTGTGAGGGTGACTGTGTGAGGGTGACTGTGTGAGGGTGGAGAGCAGAGTGTGCACCTTGGCTGGCACGGTTCGCTCGCGGGTAAAGACGGCTGTGTGTGTGGGGGTGACTGTGTGTGTGAGGGTGACTGTGTGTGAGGGTGACTGTATGAGGGTGACTGTGTGAGGGTGACTGTGTGTGAGGGTGACTGTGTGAGTGGTGTGAGGGTGACTGTGTGAGGGTGGAGAGCAGAGTGTGCACCTTGGCTGGCACGGTTCGCTCGCGGGTAAAGACGGCTGTGTGTGAGGGTGACTGTGTGTGAGGGTGACTGTGTGTGAGGGTGACTGTGTGTGGTGTGAGGGTGACTGTGTGTGAGGGTGACTGTGTGAGGGTGGAGAGCAGAGTGTGCACCTTGGCTGGCACGGTTCGCTCGCGGGTAAAGACGGCTGTGTGTGTGGGGGTGACTGTGTGTGAGGGTGACTGTGTGTGAGGGTGACTGTGTGAGTGGTGTGAGGGTGACTGTGTGAGTGGTGTGAGGGTGGAGAGCAGAGTGTGCACCTTGGCTGGCACGGTTCGCTCGCGGGTAAAGACGGCTGTGTGTGAGGGTGACTGTGTGTGAGGGTGACTGTGTGTGAGGGTGACTGTGTGAGGGTGACTGTGTGAGGGTGACTGTGTGTGAGGGTGACTGTTTGGGGGTGACTGTGTGTGAGGGTGACTGTGTGTGAGGGTGACTGTGTGAGTGGTGTGAGGGTGACTGTGTGAGGGTGGAGAGCAGAGTGTGCACCTTGGCTGGCACGGTTCGCTCGCGGGTAAAGACGGCTGTGTGTGTGGGGGTGACTGTGTGTGAGGGTGACTGTGTGTGGGGGTGACTGTATGAGGGTGACTGTGTGAGGGTGACTGTGTGAGGGTGACTGTGTGAGGGTGACTGTGTGAGGGTGGAGAGCAGAGTGTGCACCTTGGCTGGCACGGTTCGCTCGCGGGTAAAGACGGCTGTGTGTGTGGGGGTGACTGTGTGTGTGGTGTGAGGGTGACTGTGTGTGAGGGTGACTGTGTGAGGGTGACTGTGTGAGGGTGACTGTGTGAGGGTGACTGACTGTGTGAGGGTGACTGTGTGTGGGTGACTGTGTGAAGGTGACTGTGTGAGGGTGACTGTGCGAGGGTGACTGTGTGAGGGTGACTGTGTGAGGGTGACTGTGTGAGGGTGACTGTGTGAGGGTGACTGTGTGAGGGTGACTGTGTGTGAGGGTGACTGTGTGAGGGTGACTGTGTGTGTGGAGTGGGGGGTGACTGTGTGAGGGTGACTGTGTGAGGGTGACTGTGTGAGGGTGACTGTGTGAGGGTGACTGTGTGAGGGTGACTGTGTGAGGGTGACTGTGTGTGTGGAGTGGGGGTGACTGTGTGAGGGTGACTGTGTGAGGGTGACTGTGTGTGTGGAGTGGGGGTGACTGTGTGAGGGTGACTCTGAGCGTGACTGTGAGCTAGACTATGACTGTGTGAGGGTGACTGTGTGAGGTTGACTGACTGTGTGAGGGTGACTGTGTGAGTTTGACTGGGTGTGAGGTTGACTGGGTGTGAGGTTGATTGGGTGTGGCTGTGAGAGTGACCGTGTGCTAGTATGAGGGTGACTGTCAGGTTGACTGTGAAGGCGACTGTACAAGCAACTGACTGTGTGTTTGGGTGGCTGCGTACGTCCAGTCAATACTATTTTAGTATTTGCAGTGGTACGTTCATCAACAGTAGCATCCGCAGGATGATCGGCATTGCTCAAAAGTGAGGGGTGGTGGTATCACTGACTGCAGTGAGTGGGAGTCATGGGCACGGATAATACTGTTTTGTTATCAGCAGCAGAATCAGCAGCAGCATCATCATCAGCAGCAGCATCAAAATTATTATTAAAGGCATTTTTTTTTATCAGTAACAGCCGCAGTATCATCAGCAGCAGCAGCATCTGTCTCATGATAATAATTTCGAAAGGCATTTTCATTATCAGCCGCAGTATCATCAGCGGCAGTAGTAGGTAGCAACAACAGTCTCATAATTATTATTAATCGAGGCATTAACAGCATGCATGCTGAACTTCTTTCGCACCGTATGTAGCCAACCGTGATAATCGGAGGTGCAGCGACGGACAACAAACTCTAAACAAAAAGCAGTTCTAAAGAAATTCGTTTTCAATAAAAAAATGTAGTTAGATCGCGTAAATATATAAACATTGTGTCGTTAAAACCCGCCACCACCCGACACAGCCGACTAGTAAGCGTTGTCACGTAAACAGAACGTGCAGTACAAGCTGACAGAACTCTGCCAGTTCTGGATATTCTGCTCGGACGGGGTCGAAATGGAAACATAACACGCGGCGTTTAACCGAAAGAAAACGCATACTGACGCCCATCTGAAGGCAGTCAAGCAATCACCCCGCACAGAAATCTGCTCTTATCAAGTCGCTCATTAATCGAGCTCAGAAAGTGTCAGATGGTGGCAGTCTGAGAAGTGAAATTCAACGTGTTTAGAGAAGCGCTGCAAATGAACGGTTACAATGATGCACAAATAAACAGGGCATTGAATGCCAAACCAAATCAAGTAACACGAGCATTGACACTGCACAAAGTAATTAAAACGATCAAAACACCGTACATTGCGGGAATAAACATAACACGCGGCGTTTAACCGAAAGAAAACGCATACTGACGCCCATCTGAAGGCAGTCAAGCAATCACCCCGCGCAGAAATCTGCTCTTATCAAGTCGCTCATTAATCGAGCTCAGAAAGTGTCAGATGGTGGCAGTCTGAGAAGTGAAATTCAACGTGTTTAGAGAAGCGCTGCAAATGAACGGTTACAATGATGCACAAATAAACAGGGCATTGAATGCCAAACCAAATCAAGTAACACGAGCATTGACACTGCACAAAGTAATTAAAACGATCAAAACACCGTACATTGCGGGAATAAACTGGTAAGCTAGCCAGATGTTTGTAAAAACAAAACGTCCGAGTCATTTGGCACGGTACATAAAATACAGAAATTAATATCTGGTACAAGAGAATGTGTGTACAGGATTGACTACACGTGTGGTAAATTTTATGTTTGACAACAGGACAAATGATCAGCACGACACTAAAAGAACACCAGAGAAACATTAAATTATCCCAAACGCAACTGTCAGCAGTAGCAGAACACGCGTGCCAACAAGCACACTCAATTGATTTCGATAATGTTGAAGTTTTGTGCAAAACTAGCTACTCCTGGCCAAGGCTAATTAGATAATCTATTGAAATTGAAAGAAATATAAATAATTTTAACCGTTCGGATAGCTACCGCCTTAGTGCTGCGTGGAAGCAAATCATCAAATAATACATTGTTTAAATGCATGTCTACAAAGGGCTTTCCGTTGGTATCTCAATCCACACAATAGACAGGAAGGACAAGATCAAAGGGCTCGCATATTGCACATGCATCATCTAAGGTGGACTCAGTAATCCCCCCCCACTTTGCGCAAGAGCACAGAAGGGTGGTCACCCCATCTACGCCTCTATATAAGGAACCAAACGGTAAGACTTCTCCACAAATCTGTCTGTCGCCTGATGAAGCTAGTTGTAATTACCGGCGAAACGTCGTACTCGGATTGTAAATGTTGTGGCTTGGCTCTCCAACACACCGGTTAGTGCTGTACTAGTGACGAATTGGCACGTTCTGTTTAAGTTACAACCCTTACTAGTTGGCTGTGTCGGGTGGTGGCGGGTTTTAACGACACAATATTTGTATATTTACATGATCTAACCCAAAACAACCTCTATTATGGATGATATTGTTCGCGAAAGCCTACGTGTTAAACTCATAGACTAACATTGTTCATAAATTCACGATGGCCATAGACTGACATTGCCTATGAACTAACATTGCTCATTCAGTGGGTGAGTGATTAATTTGGGTGGGTGAGTAAGTGAGTGTGTGGGTTCATGTGTGGGTGAGTGACTGGGTGAATGGTTGAGTGAGTGAGGGGGTGAATGAGTGAGTGGGTTAATGTGTGGGTGAGTGAGTAGGTGAGTGATTGAGTGAGTGGGTTAATGTGTGGGTGAGTGAGTAGGTGAGTTGATTGAGTGAGTGGGTTAATGTGTGGGTGAGTGAGTAGGTGAGTGATTGAGTGAGTGGGTTAATGTGTGGGTGAGTGAGTAGGTGAGTGATTGAGCGAGTGGGTTAATGTGTGGGTGAGTGAGTAGGTGAGTGATTGAGCGAGTGAGTTAATGTGTGGGTGAGTGAGTAGTGAGTGATTGAGTGAGTGGATTAACGTGTGGGTGAGTGAGTAGGTGAATGATTGAGCGAGTGGGTTAATGTGTGGGTGAGTGAGTGGGTGGGCGAGTGAGTCGAGTTGGGACGATCGTAGTGAGCTGCGCATCGTCGTCATCATCCCATCGCTCTCCCAGACGGAGCGATCGTTTGTTTTAATGGCCACGCCCGTTGGGTGGTGGAGAGCCTCACCACACACAACTGAAATGTATTTTTGTGCCCCTCGCAAGGACGACTCTCCGGAGAGCGTGCGGCAAGCGTTGCTGTGTGCGCGGTCTCAATATCAGCATCATCATCATAATCAGAGCAGGAAAACTCATCAGCAGAAGAAGAGACAGATTCATCAGCGGGAGGAGCATAAACAGAACGAACAGCATCCGCCTCACCAGCAGCAGCATCATGATCAGCAAAAGAAAAACAAGCCACAGGTTCAGCATCATGAGCACAATCAGCCTCAGCCACATCATGAGCAGCACAGGCGCACGGCGTATCTACCACAGCCGTTGCAGCAGTGCCGCCAGGAGCGTCGCGCCGCCTGGAAGGAGCGGCGCTACCGCGTGGTGGCACAGCAGCGCTCGCGCCTGCCGGGGGCGAGCGGCGGCCGTCCCACTGCTGGGGCTGCGAAGGAAGAGGTGGAGAAAGCGGAGGAGGTGGTGGAAGGGAGGGAGGTGAAAGAGGTCGTGGTGGTGGTGGGGAAGGGACAGGAGGAGGTTGGAGGTGGTGGTGGTGGTGATGATGATGCGGAGTTGGAGATGGGAAGGTTCTTCCAAGTGTTTGACGTTGTACAGGAGGGCGACGACGATGAGGAGGACGATGAGGTGGAGGAGGTTGCGGTGGAGGCTCGGAGGAAGAAAAGGGGAGAGGTGAGAGCTGTGAGAATTCCATTGTCATCGTCGTTGTCATAGTCATGAATTAGTCGTCATTGTCATGCATTTGTCTTGAAATTATTTCGCACCGTACATAGGCAATTGTGCTAATCGCAGGTGCGGGGGAAGGACGACAAACTCTTTATGAGTCTATAGGTTTCTGTGTGAGTCTGTGGGTGTCTGTGTAAGTCTATGGTTCTCTTTACGATGAGTCTGTGGGTATCTGTAAGTCTGGGTCTCTGTGTAAGTCTATGGTTCTCTTTATGATGAGTCTGTGGGTATCTGTAAGTGTGGGTCTCTGTGTAAGTCTATGGTTCTCTTTATGATGAGTCTGTGGGTATCTGTAAGTCTGGGTGTCTGTGTAAGTCTATGGTTCTCTTTATGATGAGTCTGTGGGTATCTGTAAGTGTGGGTCTCTGTGTAAGTCTATGGTTCTCTTTATGATGAGTCTGTGGGTATCTGTAAGTGTGGGTGTCTGTGTAAGTCTATGGTTCTCTTTATGATGAGTCTGTGGGTATCTGTAAGTCTGGGTCTCTGTGTAAGTCTATGGTTCTCTTTACGATGAGTCTGTGGGTACCTGTAAGTCTGGGTCTCTGTGTAAGTCTATGTTTCTCTTTATGATGAGTCTGTGGGTATCTTTAAGTCTGGGTCTCTGTGTAAGTCTATGGTTCTCTTTATGATGAGTTTGTGGGTATCTGTAAGTGTGGGTCTCTGTGTAAGTCTATGGTTCTCTTTACGATGAGTCTGTGGGTACCTGTAAGTCTGGGTGTCTGTGTAAGTCTATGGTTCTCTTTATGATGAGTCTGTGGGTATCTGTAAGCCTGGGTCTCTGTGTAAGTCTATGGTTCTCTTTATGATGAGTCTGTGGGTATCTGTAAGTGTGGGTCTCTGTGTAAGTCTATGGTTCTCTTTATGATGAGTCTGTGGGTATCTGTAAGTGTGGGTCTCTGTGTAAGTCTATGGTTCTCTTTATGATGAGTCTGTGGGTATCTGTAAGTGTGGGTCTCTGTGTAAGTCTATGGTTCTCTTTATGATGAGTCTGTGGGTATCTGTAAGTCTGGGTCTCTGTGTAAGTCTATGGTTCTCTTTATGATGAGTCTGTGGGTATCTCTAAGTGTGGGTCTCTGTGTAAGTCTATGGTTCTCTTTATGATGAGTTTGTGGGTATCTGTAAGTCTGGGTCTCTGTGTAAGTCTATGGTTCTCTTTATGATGAGTCTGTGGGTATCTATAAGTCTGGGTGTCTGTGTAAGTCTATGGTTCTCTTTATGATGAGTCTGTGGGTATCTGTAGTTTTGGGTTTCTGTGTTAATCTTTGTATATCCTTTGGTTCTTTCGGTAAAGTCACGTAGATAGAAAAAGAATAATAAAAAAAGTGAATAAAAGTAATGAAAAGAATAAACAACAAAAAAACACTAATGTAGCCTGTAGCCTGGTTATTAAGTTTGGTGAGTGTACTGGCAGTCTATAATGTAGACTGTAGCAATGGTTATTAAACTGAGTGAGCGTATTGGCAGTCTGTAATGTATACTCTAGCAATGGTTATTAAACTGAGTGAGTGTATTGGCAGTCTATGATGTAGACTGTAGCAATGGTTATTAAACTGAGTGAGTGTACTGGCAGTCTATATTGTAGACTGTAGCAATGGTTATTAAACTGAGTGAGTGTATTGGCAGTCTATAATGTAGACTGTAGCAATGGTTATTAAACTGAGTGAGTGTATTGGCAGTCTATGATGTAGACTGTAGCAATGGTTATTAAACTGAGTGAGTGTATTGGCAGTCTATGATGTAGACTGTAGCAATGGTTATTAAACTGGGTGAGTGTATTGGCAGTCTATGATGTAGACTGTAGCAATGGTTATTAAACTGGGTGAGCATATTGGCAGTCTATAATGTAGACTGTAGCAATGGTTTTTAAACTGAGTGAGTGTACTGGCAGTCTATAATGTAGACTGTAGCAATGGTTATTAAACTGAGTGAGTGTATTGGCAGTCTATGATGTAGACTGCAGCAATGGTTATTAAACTGAGTGAGCGTATTGGCAGTCTATGATGTAGACTTTAATACCGATCTCATTTACACTAACTTCTGCTGCCATCACATCTTCCAATGCCAAACGAATTTGTTCAGGGCTAGCTTGGCTCTGATCTCAGAGAGAATTAGACTGCTCCGTACAGAAATAGATCACGTAGACAAGACACTCTTGAAATCACACTTAACATTGACAGAAAAAAATGCTACATCTGATTGGGAACATATAGATAACATTACTGCTTCATCAGCTGCTACAATATCACCTAAATGTAAAGATAACCTGATTTCTAAGAAGAAACCAGATTCACACGTTAAAAAGTTATACGTTGACAAGGTTGTTATTAATCGGAGTAATAGCCCAATTTCCGATGGTCTAAAGTTGGTTTTGGCTAAAGGTTTGAACTTCGCATCACCCCCAAACACATACCAGTGGATGCCATCATTGCCCAGGTCGATGTAGCTCTTAAGGGTTTGTGACACATCGCTGCAGATGTGACAAGATCTGAAATCGCTGCAACCCTCAAAAGCACTAAGATACCAGTCAGCAACATCAGTAAGGATGAGCGTTTTGAATTATCTCAATTGAAAAAGAGGGATAATATCGTCATCCTCTCAGCTGACTAGGGCAATGCCACGGTCATCATGGACAAAACCGTGTACAATAACAAAATTCAGGACCTACTTAATGATGGTAGCTACACAAAAATTAAAAGGAATCCCACCAACAGCCTCGTTACAAAAACGAACAGCATCACCACTGATTCAGCTCCTTAAAACCTTCTGCTGCTAGACCACCCAGATTATATGGCTTGCCAAAAATCCACCATTGGCTCACCCACCTACAAACTGGCCCGATATCTGTCTGAGACCTTGCAGCCATTCAATGGTCAGACCACCTTTTCTATACTTAACTCAGCTCACCTGGTATCGTCAATTAAAGACATCTCACTGTCCCCAGGTGATTTGCTCGTTAGTTTTGACGTAGTTTCTTTGTTCCCCAAATTTCCTGTGCCCAATACCATTGCAATCATTGAAGATTTGGTCCAACAAGGATTGAATGCTGATGTACCAGCCCTGGTGAGACACTGCCTCACCAATACATACTTCACCTGGAATGGAACATCCTACAAACAAACTGAAGGCACCCCAATGGGTTCTCCCTTATCTCCAGTTGTAGCCAATATTTTCATGGAAAAATTTGAGATGGACACCATCCAGACATCCACTCTATGCCCGTCCTTGTGGAAGAGGTACGTGGATGACACGTTTGTCATCTGGCCACATGGCCGACCGGCTCTGAACCAATTCCTCAACCACATCAATTCCATACACCCAGCCATCAAATTCACCATGGAGGTAGAAAAGGATGGCATGCTACCCTTCTTGGATGTCCTAATCAAAAAGAGACCAGATGGCTCAGAGCCATTCTGTCTGCAGAAAAAGTAACCCATACTGACGCCTACCTAAAACCTGATTCCCACCACCATCCATCCTAGAAGAATTCCCTCATCACAACGCTGCACCATAGAGCTCAATGCATCTCTGACCATGAACACCTAACCAGTGAACTCAAACACGTACACCAAGCTCTCAAGGCGAATGGATATTCTGCCTACACAATCCGCAAAGCCATCACCCCAACCGTGAGGAAGGAGCCATCTCAGGATCCAATAAAAACCATCACCTTGCCATACATAGTAGGAGTAGCCAAAACGATTTCCACAATCATGAACACAAGATCCAAGTCCGATTTAACACAGTACATAAAATGTAAGTCTATGTATGTTGAACATCTTTCGCCCCTCCCTCCCTCCCACAGCGAGGGCGGCGCCCCTCCCCCTCGGCCATCCTCTGCAACTCCGTGGAGCTGATCCGCGAGAAGCTCCGCATCTCCGACTCACCACCACCATCCTCGCCGTCACCATCCTCACCATCACGACCATCACCGGTGGCACAGCAGAGGCGCCGCACGGACTACGTCTACGACCTCTACTACTGCCACGCTGGCGGTGGTGGCGGACCCGGAGGAGATGGAGCGGCGGATGCCAGCATGGAGCTGCAGGAGGAGGGCGGAGGAGGAGGAGACGTTGGACTCACAGATATCGATCGAGTGCTGTCCGTTCAGCCGTACTTCTTCGCCGACGAGGACGGACGGCTGGTGGGTGGTGGTGGTGTTGTTGTGGTCTAGCCAAGGGTCACCCTCAGTGGCAGCTGTCAGTGATAATGTGCGACGTTGTACTGTACTGCTATATTGACTGCCCCCCCGACCCCTTTCCACCTCTGGTCATCAGGTGGCGGACGAGGAGGTGGCCGAGGAGGCCTTCGAGGAGGAGGACGATGAGAACGACGAGGGGAACTGGCGCAATGACTATCCTGATGAGCGCGACTTTGACGAGGAGAAGCAGTTCTTCTGTGGTGAGACGCGGGGCCCACCTAGGTCGGCTCAGCCTCAAAGCCGGTGCGGGACGTCTGTAAAAAGCTCCATCAGATTTATCTCCAGGAAAAATCGAGATTTTGTTAGTAAATATTCCCATTCTGAGTTCGATCACTGCTCACAGCCAGCATCGGTCGATGGTGATTATCCCAACGGTCCTAGGTCTTACCCCTAGGTTGACTCAGCCCTAAATGAGTACTTGGGGCAGTGTGTATAAAACAGCACCGGAGAGACAAAGGCAGCAAGGTGGGCGTGGTGCTGGCCACCCACCCCTTCGTGTGCCGTGCCGGCCTTCAAAGGTGCTCGCTAATAGCACTTACCCCGGCAGTCTGCTAAGGCTATATGGGGAATCTTTGTCTTTGTATGATTGTTCCGTTTTCGCCTCCCATTTATCTGCTTTCCTGTGTCCCTGTCTCCCCGTGTTTCCCTTTGTCTCCCTGTGTCACCCTGTGTCTCCCCATATCTCCCTGTGTGTCCACCCCACTTGCCTCCCTGTGTCACCCACGTGTCTCCCCGCATGTCTACCCCACGGGTCTCTCCCTGTCCGTGCGTCTACCCCTTGCATCCACCCCACACGTCCACCTTGCGCGCATCTCACAGACTCGGAGCTGTCAAGCGACAGTGGGGAGGAGAGCTACTCGCTGGGTGGACGCTACCGGTCTTCGGTGGGGGAGGACTTCCAGTACGACTACACACTCGACCTCGTCGCCAACGACTCGGACTGACTCGCTCAATCCGTCTAGCTCGCTCACCATAGCACTCGCCTTTGAGCTATAACCACAACCTTGACCCTCACCTGTGGTCCTAGCCCTGACCCTCACCTGTGGCCCTAGCATGCGTCAGGGTCTGAATCGAACACACGACCTCCTGCATGCCAGGCGAGGGAGATAACACCTCGCCTCCGTTAAGCGAAAACAATTACCCCATGAATAATGTAATAATTATAACCTTTGGCGAAATCACAAAATATTTATTTATAGCGGAGGAATCTTGACTCCTCCAGATGTCCAGTGTGAAAGCGACGTACGACCACGCATGCCAGGCGGTGAGATGGCGGCACAGCTGAGGCACGACCCCGCTCTGCGTTGCCATATCGTTCCACGCACTCTACCACTGCGCTGCGTCGCCCGTACAGCTCAAGAAAGTGGCTCATCGTCGACCGCTCAGGAACGGCGTTATAACATCGCTTGTGTTCCGCATTCTAACGGGTGACGCGTTATGACAGGGTGGCATGTCATAATCGTTGACACGTTATAACGGTGCGTGCGTTCCGCGTCATCATGGGCGGCGCGTGTCGCAGTGACGACGTGCCGAATCGACAACACCGTCCTGAGAAAGCTTGGCAGAGTGTCGTGGGACTTGGTAAGACTTATTATTACGATGATAATGATAAGAATGATGATTAATGAATAATAAAATATTTGTTGCCTTGACAATGACCCACCCTCATCTGTGACCCCTATTCCCTGGGCTGATAACGAACTCTGTGTACAACTTCGGTACGCTCGATCCCGTTGTAGAGAAAGGATGGATGGAGATTAGTCTGCACCCTCATCCGTGTCTCCCTTCGTGTGAGGTGGACACGGGGTGGACACAGGCAGGGTGGACACAAAGGGAGACAGGCGTGGGTGACACTGGGTGGACACATGGGGTGGGTGGACATGGAAGGGTGTACACACAGGCAGGGTGGACATGGGGTGGACACACGGGGTGGACACGTGGGAGGGTGGACACGTGGGAGGGTGGACATAGACGTGTGAGTTCCTTTCATTTGAAAAAAAAATAAACTGACTCCCATTAAATTGAAATACTCTGCTATACAGTAAATACAAACTGGAGAATTTAACAAATAAATTGCCACCATCCTATGTTGTTTTTCGCCAAAATTTACCAAATCTGCGTCGTGTCATTTTTCTTTAAGAAGCCCTTGCTATGCTATTATAAACGTGGATTTGCTCTCCAACACACCGGTGTGCTGAACTAGTCACGAACTGGCATGTTTTGTTTACGTGACAAACTTTACTAAGTGTCGGGTGGTGGCGGGTCATCGAACCCAAAAACCTGTTATGAATGCTACCCTATTAAAAAAAAATCGGTGAGTTTAACGAATATCCTCACGCAAAATTTGGCCAAAGTTGGCCACATTTTTCAAGTGATATTTCTGAGAAGTGAATTCCTTCATTGGCTCTCGTCTTTCTATGCCGTGGTGATTATCGGCAGCCTAGGCCTAATTTAGGCGAGTCTTCTCATAGAATATCGGGTTTTTTTTGTCAGCGTTTTTAAACATTTCCCCGTAATCGATTTTTTTGTCATCTTCCTGTGATTGTCACCCTTAATGACCCCCTCCCCCCAAAACATTTCCCAAAATCTATTTCAGAATAAAACTTTAAGTTGACAATTTCACAATTTATCAATGCATTTTCCCATAGGTAGAAAGTAATTATAGCAAAAATTGCAAAAAAAAAGTCCTTATTTTGCTTGCCTGAAAGGTTTTTGACAAAAAAAATTCCACCGTGAAATGAGCGACCCAAATTATTTGCAATTTCTACGTTGCAGAATTGTACTAAAAACAATGGGGGTGGGGGGGGGGTTATTTATGTATTGCCCAAGATTCATTTTCTCTTACGACTAAAAAAGTAAAGAAACTGAAAATAAAACAATCATTGTGGTACATTCTCCACCCAATTCTGGTACAAAAAACACATTTTAGCAAATGTTTGTATGCACAACATTTTTAAAAATATAAAAAGTTAAATTTTTGCATTTTCTGAATTTATTGTCCCTGAATTGATTGAAAAAAATATTTCTAAAATATTTTTTTCCAATCGAAATCAGCAAATATATTAAATATCTGATTGAATTAAGGGTCATACTGTATTTAGAGTGGAATAAAAGTTCACGAGTATAGCAGAGCAGGGGGATATGAAAGAGATGTTTAGCTGAACAAGAACATCTTTGTCCCGTCGAAAACAGACGCAGGATAGCTCAGGAAAGTTTCTCTAAATTTTAATGACGAAATTGGGAGTCGGTCCCTTTAAGTAAAATTCAACATCTGATAACTCGGCCAAATAATATTTGTGGCAGAAATTTAGATTTGTTTTCTTAAATGCAGTATACAACCACGACCATGAAAATTTCGAATAGAAATTTTGGCAAAAGCTAAATATTGTCAACCAGATCGACCTGGTGGACAGTTTGAAAATGTTTCCTGCCTTCAAAAAAGTTAGATGATAACGCTATTCAGAAACCCCCAGAGAAGGTCAAAATCAGAAGCAAAAAGTAAAGAGTTCCGAATTCCAAAAATTGTAATGGAGCGAGACTAGAGGGTCGTACTTACAATCTGAGCATTCCATGCTCTAGGCCGTTACATTTCATGAGAACATTTGTCAATCAGATGCCATAAAACTCCTCCTCTTTGCAAAATGAAAAAGTTAAACATTTTAAATGCCCTATATAAACCTAATTAGGGTGATGGTTATGTTTAGGATTTCGGGTTAGGGGTTAGGGTTGGGGTTAAGGTTAGGGTTAGTTAGGGCTAGGGGTTATAATTAGGGTTAGGATAGGAGTTAGGGTTAGGGGTTTGGGTTAGGATTAGGGGTTAGTGTTTGGGGTTAGGTTCAGGGTTAGGGTTTGGATTAGAGCTCGGGGTTAGGGTTAGCTTAGGATAGGGTGAAGGTTTAGGGGTTAGGGTTACCGTTGGATTAGGGTTTTGGGTTAGGGTTATGGGTCGGTGTCGGCGTTAGGGTTAGAAGGTTAGGGGCTAGGGGTTAGGGGTTAGGGTTGGGGTTAGGGGTTAGAACGATTAGGGTTAGAACGATTAGGGTTAGCGTTAGAATGATTAGGGTTAGGGCTTAGGATTATGATTGGGGTTAGAGGGTTTGGGGTTAGGGGGTTAGCGTAAGAGGATTAGCGTAAGAGGGTTAGCGTTACGGTTAGAGGGTTAGCGGGTTGGGGTTAGAGTTGGGTTTAGGGTTAGGGGTAAGGGGTAAGGGTTAGGGGTTAGGGGTTAGGGTTAGGGGTTAGGGTTTAGGGTCAGGGTCTAGGGTTAGGGTCAGGGTCTAGTGTTAGGGTCAGGGTCTAGTGTCAGGGGTTAGGGTCAGGGTAAGAACTTAGGGTTAGCGTTAGGGGTTCGGGGTTAGGGTTAGGGGTTAGGGTTGGGTTAGGGTTATTAGGGTTAGGGTTTATGGTTTTTAATGTTAGGGTTTAGGGTTATGGTTAGGGTTATTAGGGTTAGGGTTATTAGGGTTAGGGGTATTAGGGTTAGGGGTTAAGGTCGGGGTTAGGGTTGTTAGGGTTAGTAGGGTTAGGGGTTAGGGTTAGTAGAGGGTTTTCCACGGTTTAAATTGATTCCTGTGTCGTGGTCAAATCTTGTAATCAAAATTAAGTATACTTCCTGTTGTCCAATCAATTCTAAATTTTGCACACGTACTCAGATCCCGTGACAATGCATGCCTGTATCAAAATCGGCATTAATTCGCTACTTTAAAGCAAGTAAAAATTTTGTATGGACGCCTTATTATTTATATATATTTGTGTAGGCCAAAAACGCTGCGGTCCCTAAACTCTCGAATCGCGTGGCCCAAGAAGCAGGCGCGAGGTGCCTCAGGCACGTACGCGCCGCGTGGACGACTTCCGAATGTAATCAATGAATTAAAACTCTTTGGTTCTTTAGGTGAAGTAACGTAGATAGACAACATAATAGAATAAGAGACAACACGCGAGTCGGCGTTGATGTGGGAGCAGACGCCGCATCATTGACGCACTTCTCGACCGTGAGTTAAACGAAGTTGTTAATAAAACCGTTGTTTATTTAGTCGCCTTCACACTCTAAGTGGCACACAGTAGTAGTATGTGGTGAAATTTCGATTTAAAGCTTTCGTGACTGCAAGGATTCATCTTCTTTGGTTCTTTCGGTAAAGTTGTGGTGCCGCCGCAGCGGAGCCGCTCCAGCCGAACCGCGCCCACCACCGCGACGCCGTCACCGATGCCGCGGATTTCCCGCCACTCTCCCGGAGCCGGTGCCTTCTCAGACGTCCGCGTTTTGGCCCCTGCACAGTCGTGAGGCCGCTGCAGCAGGGCCACTCTGCCGAGGTCGTGCCCACCGCTGCAAAGCCGCCACCGGGGGATGTCGACGCCGACGCTGCGCACCCTCACCACCCCCTCCCCCACCCCCTCCCCCCCCCACACGAACGTACACACGCCCCACGTAGAGCCGGGAGGGGAGGTCACCCGGCTGATAGGTTTTTGTCCAGAAGTCCCTAGTGGGATCGAACTTCATGGTTTCCTGCGGCCGGGAAATTGGGCGATCTTCCCCCTGTAGCTGACATGCACTGTGGCGCCGTGACCTGATATTAAAGTTGCATGGTCACGGCAAGGGCCATCGAGCCACCGCGAGTGGAGCCACACACGCACAAGCACGGGTCAGTGGACTGGTAGCGGGAGAACAGAGAGCGGACGTCGGTGAGATCATTGCGGCGACGTCACCCGAACTAGGATCCGGGCATCGATAGGGCGGGAGAATCCGAGCCCCTGATTGGACGGGAAGCCAAGGGTCTGAAAGAGCAAAATTCCTTTGTTGTAGGTAGGATCAAAGGAGGGGGATTGGGGTAGCAGGGGGGTTCTTCTTCAAGATCATCGCGGTCCCGGGAGCAGGAGAGTCAGCCATCCTAGACATCCGTGAGACGTACTCCAGCATCGACAGGCTCGCCGCCTCATCCCCTTACAGCGGTCAGTACATCGGGGAGAAGTAAGTACGAGTGAGAGAGGCGTAAGTTTAGGCGTTTTAAATCCAGGATAGAGAGCGGGACTATCGGTAGGAGAAATTGAATCGAAGACCTCCGAGGGATAGATTAGCGTCCACTGACCCATACCATCACACGTAGATAAAATTGGTTACTCGAGGTAAATAAAATTCGCTAGTGGGGGGATAAAACTGTGTTGCGTGGTCTTTTGGGAGTGTGAAGTGGAGGGCAGAGTGCGCTGGGTGTCTACGTGTATGCGCGGCTGTGCACCTCGAGACGAAGCGTGTGGTGTTTACGTGCCCGCACGATTGCCCACAATAGTGCTTAGCGATCGCGTACCTGGGTGGCGGTGCCGCGATCACGCACCCGCACAAGTGTCTGGTCGCGAGATAGCGAGTTAGAGCGCCGAGCGCGCGCGTATTCGCGCGACTGTTTGAGCGGGACCTTTAACTCAGAGCCAAGCGAGCATCCCCAATCAGCGGCGCGCGCACGGCAGAAACCCCGCCCGCCCGTCCCCCCGGCTCTAACCCCCTCGCGTGCGATTGGTTTGTTTACGGGCAGAGGGTAGGGGCGTGTTTGTTATTGTCGGCACACGTGGAGCGGGGGTGGGACGGAAACACGCGCCGCGCCTGTTTGTTTACGGGCGGTACGGAGATTTACTGGCGAGCGCGCTTACAGCCCCACCCCGCCGTTGAACAGTGTAGCGCATCGCAAGCGCGAAGCGTACGAGCCGCTAATTAAACGATGCAAACGCGGTCGACATCCCAGGCAGAGGTACAGGGGGGCGAGACGTTAGGGGTCGGTAGTCTGGACCTGACAGAGCAGCCGGAGGGTTAGCGGTGTGAGTGGAATGGGGGAGTCGGTGGGCAACGGCCCCGACAATTCAGTGATGGCGGGGGACGGTAGCCCCCACAGTTTGGCGTCAGAAGCGGTACGAACCCCCGCGTTACCCCACGCGAAAATAAGGCATATATTCACCGGCCGGGGTACCCCTTCGTGGAAAGCATTTGCCCGCAACGTCCTAGGGGCTAAGGAAATTAATGGGTGGAGGGACGCGCAGACGCTACGTCAACTTAATATGAATCTGGATGGGCGGGCATCCGATTTTGTGGAAGCCCTACCCGCTAGCGCGCAGACACAGCTAGAGGA